CCAGACTCTATATTGTCAAAAGCAATATAAAATTCCATTTGCTTCATCTCTGCTAGAGTTTGGCTGAGTTATTCTCATCACCTCAATTATCTTTAACTTCATTTCTTTTTGTTTTTGACATGGAGTCTCACAGTGTCGCCCACGCTGGAGTGCAGTGGTGCAATCTTGGCTTACTGTAACCTCAGCCTCCTGGGTTCAAGTAAGTCTCCCTGCCTCGGCCTCCCGAGTAGCTGGGATTACAGGAGCCTGCCGCCATGCCTGCCTAATTTTTATATTTTTTACTAGAGACGGGGTTTTGCCATGTTGGCCAGGCTGGTCTTGAACTCCTGACCTCAGGTGATCTGCCCACCTTGGCCTCCCAAAGTTCTGGGAATACAGGCATGAGCCACCACACCTGGCTAACTTCATTCATTTTTATATTGTATGCACCTGACAAATCAAAGTGGTTGATAAGAAAGACAATGAAAATAGCAAACTGTCAATTGAGCTCCCCAGTTTCCAAGATCAGGGTGAAAACACAATTGCTGGATTTTTGTGTTAACACACAATTGTTGGATTTTAACTAAAAAGCTAATTTTGAATCATAAGATCAGGTAATACTTGTTACACAAACTTGTTTAATATTTGAGTCAAGCAAGCATTTATAAAGATATATTAAAAAGACACCACATTTTAAGGAAGCATAAAAACAAAGCTTCTAAGAGTTACAAAGCATTATTGGAAACATGCCAGACTCACTACCACACTTCTGCAAGATTATATCATAAACATGCCATAGCCTATTTAAGGATCAATACATACTGGATGTATTCATGGGCAAGATGCTTTACTTCTTTGTACCTTAGTGTCTTCTGTAAACTGGGGCTAAAAAATAATACCTACAACACCACCTTTGAGAACCACTGGTCTAAAAAGCTGTTTCATATATCTGATTGAAACACACACCTAACTGACCATATTAGGGTGAAACAAGTAGAAATTTAAAGTACCTCTGCTTTACAGTCTATTGCCCGCGCACACATGCACACACATTCACTCACGGACTTGCCAGAAACGATTTGATTGCTTAGGCTAACCACAAAGGAAGTCTACTTTTACATTAAATTATGTAGCTTTGGGGAAATTGGGATAATTTGGAGTCAGAAGTGGATCTAATACAAACTATATGTCCTATGAAAGAAGGTGAGGTCCAGAGAGGTGAAGTGACTAGCTCAAAGTCACTACTTGTGGGAATGTCAAAGGCATGGTCGGATCTCAGCATTCTGACTTCCCCTCAAGTGCTTTCCACTAGACATACTAATTATTGGTAGCCTGTCTGAGGGAAATAAAACATAGCCTCAAGTAGCAGTAGAACCCATGTTGGCATATTTGGGTGGTGCTACATACTCACGAATTCTCAGGATTCACTGGGAAAGTAGGGAAAGTCTTCCAAATTTCCTCACTATACATATTCTACATGTAGAGAACAGAATTTTATACTATATAGAAATCAGCCTTAATAATCTGGTTAACATGTAGGCTGTCTTCCTCTACACAGTCCTTTACTTAATATGTCCACAGTAATCCTTTCAAACAACTAGGGGTGCAGATCAACATGGATATGACTATTAGGTCTTCTGATCCATTTCACCATTCAGTGTCAACAGTTGTCTATTACTCTAATGTTGCATCCTAGGTAGCAATCTCCACTATTCTCATTATTTGGAATCTATAAAAAGAGGGGGTACGTGCAGCAAAGATTTAATCTTAGCCAAAGAGAGGTCCATTCTTTGCCTTTGGCTACTGGGCAGTGAGATCTAGGCCCCAGGATGTCCTTCCTGATAGAAATGTCTTTGTGGGCTTTGGTCACTAGACAGTCCAACAACATGATTTATAATGGGTGTTTTGATCCATGCTCTATCAGTTTAAACCTCTGGAGCAGTGGGAGAATAAAAGTATCCAGGAAGGGCTGGAGATCAACAGTCAGCCACGAGGGCAGTGTGAGATTGAGCCCCAGTAAAAACTCTGGACACCAAAGCATCTTATAAGTTGTCTAGTTGCAACATTCTATGCATACTGCCACATATTGTGGCTGGGAGGAAGAAATGCAGGTAAAGATGTCCATGACTCCACAGGGGGAAGAGGACCAAAAGCTCTGTGTTTGGACCCCTCCTGGACCCCATGCTGTGCATCTCTTCCCTTGGCTACTTTGTATCCTTTCACTATAATAAAACTGGAAGTGTGAGCACAGCACTTTCCTGAGTTCTATGAATAGTTCTAGTGAATCATTGAATGTGAGGGTGGCAGTGGGGCCTCTAAATTTGTACGAAGCTGGTCTGAAGTGAGGTGGTTCTGGGGACCCTGGAACTTGCAGGTAGTGTTGAAGTTAGGGCAGTGTTGTGGATGGAGACTGTTCCCTCAGACTTTGCAGTTTGGCTATAATCATTGCCAGGTGATGTTAAAAGATCAGGAAAGATTTGGTACGATTCTTAATGGGGAAGTCTATGAAATCGGTGAGTTCAGGGGCTTGTATTTGGGAGAAGGTAGATTTAGGGGAAGTCTCTCCTAGACGGGAGGTAAGAGATCAAAATTCTGACAGAAAAATTAGATGTTAGAAGAGCAAGATCCACTTCAGACGTACTGAGTGACAGTTCTGATTGAGTAACCTCAGGCAAACGACTTCAAGACTTAGTACTGAGTACTAGCTCGCAGAGACCCCCACCCAGGTAGCACTGAAGGAAGTGAGAGGCAGACACCCAGATAAAACAGCCAAGTGGGTGTATCCCGGGGGCCAGCAGCCTTCTAAACTGAGAGCCTCAGGGGCTGACAGCATTCCAAGCAGAAAGTCCCAAGTAGACGCTGACCCCATGCAGTTATTCTCTCTGAACAGGTGATCATTATTAACGACAGGTGTTTGGTATTTTCTCATAACACAAAACACGCCAAGTAGTCAGCTGGTGCCCGCTTACCATTGATCACAAACAAAAAACATTCTAAAAAATATTCTCCACAAGGGAGCCATGGGGGCAGGGTCAGATAGTGTAAAGAATTGTTTCCACAGGTGTATGACGTTTATATATTGTCCTGCCACTTTGGAATGCCCCAAGTAGTTTTTTACTTGGGAGTGGGGGTGGCTAGGTTTTCCTTACCATCATTCTTCCTAGCAAACAATGTATTCTATCACACCCTCAGCATTCATCAATATTCATAAATGTAATATTTCTCAACATTAATATTCATAAACATTTCTCAACAACTTAGTCAAATGCAGCTATATGTGATAGTGAAAACTCATGATATATGTGGAAATATCTTAAAGCTACCACACGTAAATGTGAAAACAAAATACTATAACCATTTCAGAAACACCTGAGTGCAACTGTTGAGCAATATTGGTAAAGTCAAGACTTTCTTGACATTTTCCCTCTCTAATTAAAAAAGCTCTTTCGGTTGAGCGCAGTGGCTCACACCTGTAACCCCAGTACTTTGGGAGGCCAAAGAGGGCGCATCACGAGGTACGGAGTTCGAGACCAGCCTGGCCAATATGGTGAAACCCTGTCTCTACTAAAAAAATACAAAATTTAGCTGGGCGTGGTGCCACGCGCCTGTAGTCCCAGCTACTCGGGAGGCTGAGGCAGGAGAATCGCTTGAGCCTGGGAGGCGGAGGTTGCAGTGAGCCGAGATCACTCCAGCCTGGGCGACGGAGTGAAACTGTCTCCAAAAAAAAGTATTTTTAAATGTCACATTTTTTCATTCCAAGTTATCTTATTTTTTCTGTGTGTGCATTCCTAAACAAGGAACATTTAAATCCAAACAACTGGAGTGTTTAAGAAATGCAATTCACATATTTCAATTTGTCTCCAAACTTATTTTCGCCTCCCAGAGTGTCCGATTTGTCTCTCCTCCACTACCGACATCGTGAGTTCAAATTTTTCAGAAGGTAACGTTTAAAAATGGTGCCTCTTCCAGCATTTTGGGAGGCCGAGGCGAGTGGATCACGAGGTCAGCTCAAGACTAGCCTGACCAACATAGTGAAACCCCCTCTCTATTAAAAATACAAAAATTAGCTGGGTGTGGTAGCAGGCGCCTGTAATCCCAATACCTCCGGAGGCTGAGGCGGGAGAACCGCTTGAACCTGGGAGGCGGAGGGGGCCGTGAGCCCAGATCGCGCCGTTGCCAGCCTGGGCAACAAGAGCGAAACTCCGTCTCAAAAAAAAAAGAAAAAAAAAAAGTGTCTCGGCCGGGCGCCGTGGCTCAGGCCTGTCATCCCAGCACTTTGGGAGGCCGAGGCGGGTGGATCACGAGGTCAAGAGATCGAGACCATCCTGGTCAACATGGTGAAACCCCGTCTCTACTAAAACTACAAAACATTAGTTGGGCATGGTGGCGCGTGCCTGTAATCTCAGCTACTCAGGAGGCTGAGGCAGGAGAATTGCCTGAACCCAGGAGGCGGAGGTTGCGGTGAGCCGAGATCGCGCCATTGCACTCCAGCCTGGGTAACAGGAGCGAAACTCCGTCTCAAAAAAAAAAAAAGTGTCTCAGCGTGAGGTGCATTTTTCTGAAGTAGAAGTTCCGGGCGAACGGTTTTAGAGTTTTCCCAGAGGCAGAATATCGAGCTTCCGGGGCGTTACCTCCAGGGAAAGTCACCGGGAGTGTGGGGGGCCGTGGGGGAAGGTCAGGGTGGGCATTTTTGGGAGGCTCTCGCGTGTCGGAGGCAGTCTAGGGATGGCGCCCCACATAGGTGGGGCGCGGGGCCCCGCTCGGAAGTAGCACCGCTGGGCAGAGCCGGGGAAGGCCCGTTTCCCACCTGGATTAAGATGGATCCGACAGGGTCGTGGTTTTCAACGTTTTGAGCCATGGCTGGGGCAGGGGGAAGCGCTACCTCCGCGCAGGCGCGGCGTCCCAGCGCGGAAACCTTCAGCCCCGGGCGCTGGTCCCCATGGCAACAGCACGCGCTGCCTGGCCTGTTCCACGCTGGGAGCGGAAGGGGGGGGTGGGGGCGGGGTCGGGCCCGCCTAGTCATTCCGAGAACGCCGTCCCCGGCGTGTCTCCCCCTCGCGCCGGCGGCCGTGGTGCAGCTCAAGGCGGAAGCGGCTGCCTGAAGGAACCGGCTCCCGAACGCCGCAATGGCTGCGGGCGCGCCCTGTGCGTTGGTCACTAGCTGCTCCTCCACCTTCTCTGGGGACCGGCTGGTCCAACGTGAGTAGATAGGCGCCTGGGCCGACCTCCAGGGCCCCTGAGCCTCGGCGGACGACGGCCCGAGCACCACGGCGTCTGTGGGCCTTGTCGCCGCCGCGGGCCCAGTGCCCTTCCTCCACTCGGTCCAGGCGCCCGGTCTCCCCAGGTGGCTGCCCTCAGCTCTTAAACACGTGCTTTTCTGCCCGCCCGGCCCTCTTCCGCGTTCGTTTCGGCTTCTTGTGTAAAGGGAGACTGATTCCCGCTCTGCCCAGCCCAGCCCGCAGGTTTTTGCGAGGACCCGTTGAGGTGAACCTGAAGGCGCTCTGGAAATTGCTCTAGGTTGCAGGAGTGTAAGGTGCTGGAATGGTTGATATCGGGATGTTTGTTGCTGTCCTTGCTGCTCCAGTAGAGTGTTTCCTCCGAATTCTTGGCTAATCTTAGTGTGTACATTGTAAGACTCGTTAGCTTTGTCCTCTCCACTCTAGTTATTCACACCTTTCTTCTGAGGCGTGGGCTCTCTGCCAGCATGAGTTTTTGGGTGCGATTGGGCCTCGTGCCTTTGCTTACAGACCCTCATAATGGCTGTCGGACTGAGTAACGCTTTGAAGAGAGAACATGGGAGTGCATCATAAGCCAGCTGTACCACGAAAGGGCTCTGTGAAGTTGAGTTATATGTAACTCAAGACTTCTGTTTTAAGTGTAAGGCTTAGAATCAGAGCAGTGACTTAGCTGTATGATCTTGAGCAAGTCACCTAACCTCTCTGCCTTTCCTTTTTTCTTTTTTCTCTTTTTTTTCTTTTTTCTTTTTAAGAGACGGGATCTTGCTCTGTCGCCCAGGCTGGAGTGCAGCGATGCAATCATAGCTCACTTCAGCCTCGAACTCCTGGGCTCAAGTGATCCTCCTGCGTCAGCCTCCCAAGTATCTGGGACTACAGGCTCACGCCACGAAGCCTGGCCAATTTTTTTTTTTTTTTTT